TATAGCATGTCTTTATGGACCCAGTCATGTACTATTCAGTTTTAATAGCGTTTGAAACTTGGATGAAGAAAATATTTTTCACCGACTCGGTTCTTTTAATGCATTACTCCTGTTTTATAATGCGGGATGGCACCCAGGAGACGGATAGATAGAAGTCAGGCCTCCTGCCAAGTAGGTACCGACTCTCCGACTTGTGGTACGCAAAAACTCTACGCCTTGTATGACGGATGGACTATTGCACCGGTGGGAGCACTAAATCCTACCATCAACAGCCAGTTCTGCATAATGTTCTCACCTCCTTGTCCCGGGAATGTTCTTCACCCTTGCTTCCAACTGGTCTATCCTGCGTCAGACCTTTTACTCATACAGAGGATTACAAATATGAAATTCAGCCCGTCAAACAGCAGCTGTAATATAAATAGGACGATATCAGCTCATGACCGCAAGCTGTTTCTCAATTGAATATCACGATCCAGCCGCTTGTCTCCATTCTCCTAGCTACATCATTCCGTTATGGTCGCCAACGATTCAAAAACACTCCGGATCGGAGTCCTTCTGACGCACTCGGTTCAGCTCCTCGACCTAGCAGCTGTTGATCTCTTCGGTATGATGTCAAAGGACTACATTAGTGAAGTTGATGTCCTTCCTCCGGAGATTGCTAGCCTGGGGCTACCAGTCGATATCAACTATATCGGTATACAGCCTAACTGTGCTGGCACATTTATCCGGTGCACGGCAAACATCGGCATCAGACTCAATGCCTCGATCCACGACACCTCTGTCTCGACAGATAGCCTGGATATACTGGTGATACCAGGGCCGGATCCAAAGTACGTCCCCGATGAATCCGTATTGGCGTTTGTCAAGGCGCACCATGATGCCGGGAACGACATTTTATCGATATGCACCGGGAGCTATGTTGCTGGGTATGCCGGTATTCTGGACCACAAGAACGTAACTGGTCCACGAGGATTGATATCCGACTTGGAAGTGAAATTCCCCAATGTGAAGAAGTGGGACACCACACGAAGAGTAGTAAAGGATGGAAATGTCTGGACGAGCGGTATGATTCTTCCATTGTATTTATAGATAACTATGGATGTGAAGTGCTAACTTGTACGAAGGCGGAGTGACGAATGGCAACGATCTTGTAGCTGCTTACCTTCGAGAGCACTATGCGCTGCCATTGGTGAATACCATACTGTCTATAGCCGATGTGGGTGGGCGACAGATTGAGTACGAATAGAAGTGATGAACCAAACATGTCACCATGGTTTGGCCTTTCTGTATCTAACCCTCATTTGAATAAAGACCAATTATCAAACCTGGCTGGATAAGCTTGTCCCAATCTCTAAATGAGACATCTTACAGTTTCTATTTTAATAAGTCAGTGATAGTTAGCTGACGGCTCCACCTCCACATAAATCCACTATAGTTAATCGTAGCTATGTCATGCAGTAACACTCCTGTATTGAAGTATAAAGTAGGGACTGGAATTGTGTCATGATATGTCCCTCAGACACAAGGAAATAAGCAATAACTAGGTACCAACATCACTTAAGGACAATTAACACAACGAAAAAAACGAAAACGTTATACACCAAAGACACCCTCCCGTGAGAGAAACGTTGACCAAACCAACTGTCAAAAGACCTAGTTGCTTGCTGTTAAACCACATTAACAAAACCCGCGAGAGCTAGCAGGACACAGCTAATTGATATAAAACTTCCAATCGATGCTCCAGTGTTGCGGTAAGGGCTAATAGTCGGAATTGACAGGATATATTTCGACGTAGTTGCATGGGCTGGTGCTGTAGATGTGGTAATTTTGGCCGACTCGCTAGAAGTAATAGTTGCTTTGGGTGACATTAGCAGCTGGCAAAAAGCAAGCAACTTTGGAGTTAGAAAATATAGAAAGGGTCAAATACTTGTGGTGTCAGCGGGCAACTTCGGCCACGTCCCGGGCTTTCCGGTCTCTGCCGATTTCGAAGGGACGGTAGCAGCCGGTGGGTTATTCGGCTGAACAACTTCAGGTTTCTTGACTGTAAAAGGGGGTGACTGAGCGAGGATGTCGTGGTTCTTCGGGTCATTTGAAATAAAATGGTACTGATAAGACTCCCTATATGTCCATCAAATATATTAATACTGTCCTTATCAATGGGCTCGAAGTTTGAAGAATCTTAGATTTTTCATGATACCAGATTGCTACCTACCCGGGTGTAATTTTGACCACTGGAGGGATGAGTATAGATCCCTTTGATACTTCAACGTCGTTGGCAACCTCGACAATAACTGGTGGATTAACAGCCATATTCACGAGCTCGATCGAGAAGCGTTCAGGGTCGGCCCTATTGGCTTATTAGATTCAATAAGTCTCGATGAAAGCAGTCAGTGATAGCGGCATACTGGGCGGGAACCCATTTAACATCGTTATGGAGCGAGAGATCCAGAACCAAGCCTCTGCCTGGGTAAGTAATACGAATAGCTGGAGAAATCAAAAGTTGATGCGTTAGCCATGGTTATCCTAGCGATCTGGTATTGGTAGGTAGAGCGTAACACATACCCTGCGCAGATGTAGCAAGCGCCACGACGGTTGTGAACAATTTAAGCATCATATTGGCTGATCCAGCAGAAGACGGTCAATGTCTCGGGATAATAGCCGTAAACTCGGGTATCCATAGAGCGGGTATATCAAGTTGAAGGTAGCTTAAGTTGGCATCAAATATAAAAGCAGAACCCTTTGTTTGAGCAAAGCTCCTGCCAAAGGATTTCAAAGGTTGCAATAGAAGGCGTTGCTGGCTAATAGTAATGGCCAGAAGTAGGCGCAATCGGCAAGGAGGGCGCAAATAGTAGCCGTACGCAGATAACCATGTAAGGAGGCAGCCATGGTTGAAGTACACATTGAAAGGTATATTGCCGTTTCGTATGCCCTGGATTCATTTTATGCTATTAAAGGATGGTAGGCGGCCAAAACAAGCAATGGAAATAAATGCATCTATGGTGTTTTCATTTTCATGCTAGATGACAGGCTAAATATACGGTTCTCATGGGTTTGACTATTCCCAAGCTCTAATACGAGGGAGTGCAAAGGCCATGACCAATATTGCTTCCAGGGCCGCTTCACTCCCAAACATTGGCAAAGAGGTCATCACCACCACCAAAACCGCTAGATTTACCCTTGCTGAAGCTGCTATTTCCATTCCTGATTGGCGCTGGGGTTGGGTCCGCCCATCCGCCAAAATCTTCATCAGCAGCGACCGCAGGAGCCGGCTTAGCGGTAGCAGGAGAGGGTGCTCCCCAACCGCTACCTATGTCGTTCGCAGTTAAAGTATCGGGGACCTTCATAGCGGATGTGGCCTTTGAAGCGGCCGCGGGGGGTGATGGTTCGGCCATGCTCCATGCATTCCCGCCCCAGGGGTCCAGGGTGCTTGCAGTGAATGCGTTTGAGGGACTAACGGTGCTTGTAGGTGGAGATTTAACGGTTGGTTGCTGCGGCGGTAAAGAAAGATTGAAGACAGAAGTTTGGCTAGGAGAGGCTACCGGTGGCGAGGTATTAATAGTGTCTGTTGCCGTTGGAGCAGTGGTTGTCTGCGGTACTGGTGAGGAGAAAAGGCCAAACATATCATTAGACGCGCTGGGCGGTGCTGCGGGAGCTTTTGTCGATCCTACTGTTGATCCCATCAGGTCAAAAGTAGAGGGAGGTGGTGATGCAACTTGGCGTGGCTTTGGGTCTGGCTGCGCTGAAATATCGTTAAAGAAGCTACCACCACTCGACATAGCTGGTGAAGTTATCTTTGGAGCCGCAGGTGAAGATTTGGAGCTAGTGAGGCTGTCAAAGGCAGAAAAGGTAGATTGCTGCCTCTGAACAGGAGGGGATGTAGTGGAAGGGAAACTCAGCCCACTGAAGGCGTCGCTAAGACCACCAAAGGCATCCGGTTTGGAGGCCTGCTGAGGTGGGAGCGAAAATGAACTGAATGAAGAGTTTCGTTCATGTTGAGGTTGTTCTTGAGGTTTAGGTGGCGCAGAAGCATACAGAGATAGAATTGATTGTTTGAGATCTGGTCTTGAAGGACCTGACGTGGGAGTATTTCCACCCGGAGTGCTTGCTGGGCGGTTAGATCCGCCACTTGGTTGGCTGGGACCGAAGAAATCCAACCCAAGCAATGAGTCAGCTGGTTTATGGGTTTTTGGAGCAACAGCAGCCTGAGGAGGGGGTCTGTTCCCTGGTATGTCTGTGGTCCTCGGTCTCGGGGGTGGGTTCGCTGGCTCATCATCGAAGAAGTTCACGGCGGGCTGTTGAGGCTGCGTGGGTCGGGGGCGGTTCGAGCTATGCTGTTGTTGAGACGCAGAGCGTTCTAGCTTGGCCTTCTCCTGTATGACTGCTAAAGGCTATACAGATATTAGAAAACTTGGTAGCCTTAACAGATTTTTTCTCCAGTGACGTACCACATCCTCATCACCTTCTACCTCGAGTGTAGATGGATCGGGCATCGGACCATCCATCACCCATCGTTTGGATTCGTACTTCGTTCGGATAAAATTCTCAATTTTCCTGTCCAATAAATCAGCATTCCGTCACTGTAGAACCCGTGGCGTGAATACAGGTTGCACATACGCTTCTGATGGGACATGTCCAGGGTTTAATTTATCTTCCCAATACCTATGCCATAACAGTCAGTCTTGTCGAAAAGCGACATATACGGACTCCGGTCTTGTATATCCAGATTCAGCATACTTGTTTGCCCTTGCATTCCCCCATTTCATAATGCTCTGTAGCTGCTCGTCTGTCCAGGAGTCGAGATCCACCGATTTCACTCGACTGATATGGGTTCCCATTCCTCGATGAATGCCCGAGCATCGAATGCAAATAAATACGCCAATATTCCAGCTCGCCCATCTTGGATCTATTAAGGGAAGAAGTCAGTAAGATGATAAGTCTATCATAGCATTCAGGGGTTTATCCGCATGAAAACCAAATCCCAGCCATGAGAGCGGTAGGTACGAAACAAAGTAGACTCACGTTTATTCCGTTTACAATCAGCACAGGTTTTATTGCAGGTCAGCTTCAGTAGATTCTTTATCATCTGCTGATTCTGGGCTGCCCGATCATGAGCTGGCGGGCGGCGAGACATGTTTCGAGAAAGATAACGGCAAACCGGGCAGTTGATCAAAAAATATGGTTTGTAACGAAAGATCAAATATATAACTGGTTGTGTATGTCAATTCAGACGGTTATGGAGTACTCTCCGCGTTCGCGGGAAAGATATATCAAAGATATTCTTGCTGCCTTCACTGAAGTTCGTCGAAAGCGCAACGAGAAAGTCACTTCGCGTTTGACGTTTCAATCCGCATTATTTCTGCTTATGTAATACAATGACATATCACGTGAGAGGCCTTATCTCCGGTGGAAGAGAGAAGAAGAAGAAAAAGCATAACAGCTCGCGAGGGTCATTAAATTTACATATATTCATTAACTAATTACAGAGTTGCAAGATGGATTCTTGACTTATATGTTCTCTTTGGATGCCTTCGCGCCCCCTTCATCCTCGTTGAACTTCAAGCTAATGCTGTTCACGCAGTGTCTCTCGTCAGTCGGCGTATCGTACCCTTCGCCCTTGAAGACATGACCCAGGTGGCCTCCGCAATTCGAGCACACAATCTCCGTTCTACTAATACCAAAAGATCGATCTTCAAGACGTTTGACTGAGCCGGGGATGCAGTCGAAATATGCCGGCCAGCCGCAGCCCGATTTGAATTTATGAGAAGCCTTGTATAGCGGTGCAGAGCAACCGGCACATTGATAGACGCCAGACTCGGGCATATGCTTGTCGTATTCTCCGGTGAAGGCGCGTTCGGTTCCTTTCTGGCGAAGAATGCGAAATTGCTCTATTTATAGGGTTAGTTGAGTCGTCAGCATAGGCAAAATGTCAACAAAGCTGGAGTAGCTTGGGACGTACCTGGCGAGAGAACTGCGCGCCATTCTGCATCTGTCCGTTTTTCAGGGTAGTTTGCCATATTCTTTGAACTTGCACTGGAGCTAGAACTGCTTAAAAAGGAAGACAGGAATCCGATCATAGATGAAGTTCCCAGCAGAGCTGGCCGGATAAGTGCTGGTCTATGTCTGAATCGAGTAATATGAGATGTGACTGTATATCTGGTAGGCGCAAGTCCAGATGCAATTGATCCGTATACAGCTCGCGTGAAAGACATGAAAAAAGAGTTGTCGAACTTGTAGAGTCGATGCGGTTACTTATAAATGTTCATATAAAATGGATTCCACATACCCAAAATCGAGAAATGACGTTTGCGGCCGGTTTAAGCTTAAAATACTTGGTTGAACCAACGCCAAGCCCGTTGTGGAATCAAGAAGGCGAAGCATCCGCAGAGGGCTTAAGCGATGTTGCTGTTTAGCTATTTGAAATCATCTTCTATTCATAGTATAGCTTATAGATAAAAATTCTACTATACCTACTATTTTCATCTAAAAACCGACAGGGCATCGTAAACCAACGCTGACAAAGCTGGGTATCAAAACTCCAAAGGCTAGACGCTCACAACAGGGCAGGAATTCACTGAGTAAAACCGCCTTTATAGCTCAGGAACATGGATGGCTCATTAATAACCAACCTGGCCGGTCACAACCAGCGCACCCCGCTCAACCTCAACTTTCCATCCCTCTCGTACCAGGCACCGAGCAACGGCAGGACCTAATCTTGCAGTACCATTCTTGCTGTGCCGTCCAAGCCCAGTAACGACACGGTAGCTTCGTGCTCCAGGCTGTGCTCGCAAACGATTGGAGTACTTCTCATCACCTAGAGACTCCCACCAGGATTCCACACTCCGTTTTGCAATTCGCACCGCATCCTGCACGCTCACCCCATGCAGGTCTAGAACGTTGCTCGTTGACTGGCTGTAGACAAGTGCATCAGCAGCAATAGCTGACTCCCTCTTCGCCTTCTCAAAATGCTCGCGGCCGAGGGATGAGTAATATCCTGCTGCACCGCCCATAAGGCGGTCCGATTTTCCACGGCGATAAGCGGAGTGAGCTTTTTCAAACGCCTGCTGGCTTGCAATGAGATGTCTGTCTGCAATGGCCCTGCTAATGACAGGGTTATAGTTTGGTCTAACAGCTGTTGCCGCAGGAACGGATGAAGACCTGGTAGGCGTACGGGATGTATTTGAGGTAGTGGTAGCTTGGAGTGAGCCGGACGGCCCCGTTGCTCGATATTCTGGTTGTATAAGGCTTGGTATCGGCTCAATTACCATTATTCTTGCTAATTCGTTCGCGGCGGATATGCAATTTCTCGTCAACCTGAGGAGGCCAACAAGTTCTTGATGAGAGAGCGCTGCGAATTCCTCCTGCAATTCAGCAATTTGGGAGCGAGTCACGTCGTCTCCCACGCCTTCTGCGGAGGATTTCTTTGCTTCATCTCTTGTAAGAGCACGGATAGTTGCTGGGAGTGACGCGCCATTTGAATGGTATGCTGAACTAATAGTCGACATGGTCAGAAACGTTCTCGAAGCAATAAATTCCATATCTTTTTTCCCATTATCCCATCTATTTTCAGGTTTTGTTCCACTGCTATAGCTTAAGGAGGTCTGCGAGAGATCAGATTCAGACAGGTGTTGTAGGTGTTGCTTGTTTTTGTTCTTTTTGCCTCTCCTGCGTGACTTGCCGTTACCGACCGAGTGCTCGAATCCCTCGACTCCTTTAGGAACCAAGATCTGGTCCTCGTCCGTCCCAGAAGTCTGACCGTTCTCAAAAAATGATGAATTTAACAGCACATCCATTGCCTTGTCAACGTTTCCACCATATTTATCAAGCGTATGTAAAACAGTATATCGATCGATGGAGGGGAACATCTCATTTAAATATTGCGCTTGATCTTCCGAGTTCGACCTATTGAGGCCCTTTACGGCGGTTGTAGAGTCACCCGACCACTTTGGATCACCATTTCCACCTCTCGTTCTCTGCCCAGGGTCATTGCTTGATTCCACACCGAGTGAAGAGACAGTTGATCCAAGGCTTGTTGTGTTGGTTTCATGAGACCCTAAGGTCTGCGGTTCGCTTTGTGCAGAGGCAATGGCCGAAGCGTCCTCCGGAAAATCAAACCCGCTAGTTCCTGACGGGTCAAAAATGGCATCTTCTTGTTCAAATGCAGATATCTTTAATGCATCCAGAGTTTCTCGAAGCTGCTGGATGGCAGACTGGTCGTCGAGGGCATAATCGCTCACAATTGCGACGAAAAGAGCAGGGTCCAGAGGAGGACAATACTCGTTCTCAAGTTCCTATTGGGAATACCGTATTAATCAAATGATAAGATGGATATATGGCAACAGGTGGCTACACGAGGTAGATTCATGGTCTAAGAAAGACCTATGCGTCGCTCACTACAGAGTACTTACGTTCAAGAGGGAGGGCGTGTCATCCATGCTCGGCAGTAGTCACTTGGTTCGATCGGATGCTGTGACTGGTAGATAGTTGCATTTCTTGTGCTTGGATAAGAATGGAGAGCACCGATAAACCGAGATGGCATTTATAATATGATTTGGCAACACTGAACGCGGCGAGTTCGTGTTGTTTGCGACGGGTTGTTCCATCTTCTTCTTCTCGCTCTTTGATCTTTTGACGTCGTGTCGATGCAGTCATCCGCCTGGAGGCCGCGTCACGTGCCTCGTTCTTTTCGCCCTCTTGCTCCTTAGGCCGATTATTAGGTAGAGGTAGCCAGCAGCGATGAAACATGCATGTACTTCACTTCACGGTTGACCGTAGCAGAAGAAGACTGGAGCGGTCCTTGATTTCTTGCACAACTTGCTGACTATGTACTGTTTATCGTACGACTCTCTTTCTCAAAGTAGATAAACCTACTAACTAAATTGACAGAATAAAGGGCGAAAAAAAAAAAAAAAGAAAAGAAAAGAAAAGTGGACAATGTGATAATCGAAATCACGACCTTCCGTATGCAAAACGGACGTTATACCACTAAACTAATTGCCCAGTTATACAGTAACTCTATTCGCTATACTGCAATGGCTGCTTTTACCCTGCTATTGGGTAATAGGGAGTAACCATATCGCGTCTACAGCCCCTTTTTAATCCAGTCATCCTTTGCAAACCATATGCGAGACCACTGTCGAGCGTTTGAAGGGATTTCTCCCTTAGAATGTGGGTCACTACACTGCCCTCACGTGGTATTCAACTCCCTTCTTGACCTTCAGTGTCATCATCATCATGATGTTCACTGTATACCAATACCTAAGGAACCCGGGGAAGCGAAAACGCGAGGGCCATACAATGATGACATCCAGGCCTGCCATTAGCTAGTTACTCTGGAAAAGCTCTGAGAAGAAAATTGTTTAAGGCAGGGGTCCCTGGGCGGTTCGATGTGGCTGGTAAACATGCCTACCTAAGGGAACTATGGAGTCATATCGTTACGACCCACCAAGGTGAGACCTCGAACTCAGGTCCCGACGGAGGTCACCAAAGATTCAAGATCCAGCCTTAGGCTCTGATATTAGTTACCACACGTTAAACGCTGGTCACATTAGCAATTATTATTAAAGCCCGTGGGTAAGTTAAGGTATACATACGTTGTGCAGGTCAACTACCAAGGACTTCTCAGTCTGTTTAAAGAAATGAAGCATACTCCGTATCCGGATTCCATTTTGAAGGATCTTTAAAAGAAAATGTTTGTGGGATGAAATTGCTGTGTCCAGGTTCTATGATATCCCGGGAGTTAAACCAGTGGGCACATGTCACATATAAATAATAGCTGATTTGCACAACTCTCCCATCTTTTCTAGGGTCCCCTGGGAGCGACATTCCCATGAGACGGCAATGCATTGTTTGACGTTGCGAGAAATAGCGAGACCTCAGGTGAGTCACAAAAGAAAAGCGGTCACCTTCGTGTACTGTTGCAGGAAGAGTTATCTTAAACTTGATCGGTGTATATACCACTAAATAAATTGCCCTGCACTTATACGGAGCATGTCTAGGTATAACACTCATACGTCTAAGTTGGGTATCAAGAGAGTATCGTTGGCCTGGATAACCCACCAGGTATAGCTGGGTTAATTGTGACTTGTACAAGCTGGACTTTCAGAAGAGTATTCGCTGCACCCAGCAAAAGCAGGTGTAGCTATTGTTTTACGATTCAAGGGCATAAGGTGGGTAGTTATTTAACTTGCAAGCTAATTGAGAGGGCTTAGGGAACCCTACTCTTTCTCCCCGGCATTTATTTTTGCTATAAAGCAACGGCCTAGGCAAACCGTCAATTACTTCTAAGGCCTTCATCAATTCTATATAGTCCGGCAACTCACCTCATTCGAGATTGTTTATATAACTTAGATATGCTCTGTGATGGCGCAGGGCCAGGGGGAAGGGGATGACTGAGTGGCCGGATAGACTAGATTCTAGCGCATCCATGCACACGGCAATTTGGTTTCAACCTAGGTCCTTACACTAGTACCCCCGACAGGCTGCAGCGAACATCCATACTCCATATACATTTTGGCCAGCTGAAAGGTAAGAGGTCAGAATACATCGATTTTACCCATTACATGTAAGTGCTATAAATAGTGTTAATGGCGAAAACCCACTCACAGGACGCCCGCATAGCTCAGTGGTAGAGCGCATCACTCGTACTCATGCTATGATGAGGCCCTCGGTTCGATCCCGAGTACGGGCTCTTGAATTTATTTTTTAGCCACCTTTGTTCCTCCTCTTAGGAGAGCCTAATGCTTGAGTGTATTGTCGATTATTACTGTTATTTCTTCAAGTAAGATTAGTCGTGTGCTGGCATAGATAGGGACAAGGGGAACTACATGGTAACAGATATCAAAAAGGTCAGAGTGCCATACTCCCTCCACATCAATAACTAAAACTCCTGCATTTTGCACGCTGAAACAGAAAACAAGAACCCAACGCCAGATATCATGCACTTAGAGTGTTTATTCATATGTATTGTAGCCCCTTAACCCAGTATCAAGGCTCTGGGGACATCAACTCCCGTTCCCATCGCCACCGTAATACCCTTGTAGTCGGCATAGGGTACCACCACATATACACCCAGGGACCATAAGGACAGCGGCTCTTCGTCAAACTGACAGGACCCTGCTCAGGAACAGCGTTATATGCAACTTCCGTAGGGGCGGGGAGCGCCGCGTTATCATTCTGGCAATTTGGAATCGCTTCAAAATATCCAGCCTAGCACAACCCACAGCACAAGGCCGGCTCCTACCACTATGGCCGCAAGTTTCAAGACGGCTATCTTGTCGCCCTGCCTGGCCATGCGTGTCAACCGGCTTGCACTGCCTTTGATGTTCGTCGATAGAGATGAGAAGACATCGCTCTACAGGCCCATGTCCAGTGGGCAGGGAGTTAGTTTATCGGCCATTCAAGAAGAAACGGCATGGAATATACGAACGGTATTATCGATCATTTCCTGGTCTCGTGCATTATCGTATATATTTACGGTGACTGATTTGAGGGCGCTTGTCTTCTGCGATAGGGACTCGAGGAGGGAGTTGTTTTTTCTGGTGCAGACGGGATAGTAGTTAGCGCCGACTCGTAAGGAAAGAATGGGAACGCCTTTGAATAGGGCAAGGCGAGGAGATACCTTTCTCTTTCGTATGCGTCGCTCATTTTGATCGGTCTCTAGGCTGATGGAATAGGCCGGGAATATTGCAGACTGGTGATGGGTTGTGTGTTTGTCTCCTGGAAAGATGTGGCAAACGCTGTACTAGTAAGGTGAAAACTAGAGGTTTCAATATATCTATTGACTAGTATTCAACGTATTATTCAGATCAGAAACCAGGTAAAAAAGTTGCGGCTTGGGCGTCATTCGTCGTCGTTAACCGATGCTTCAGTTGCGATTCGGAGACCGGGGTTAACTAACTATACCTTATCATGTGATTATCAAATGTCCTGAGCCAGCTAATTAACTACGGAGCCCCTGAAAACAGGTAAGAAACGATTACCTGTAGATTCGAGATAGATATTATGAAGTAAATAATTAATTTCATATATGGGTATCTAAATGTATCGCTCATCGTACAGTGACGTTAAAAATGACGTTTACCATGGATACTAATATTTCCCTCCCCAACTGACCCGCCTCCAAATGACAACAGCTGCGGCGCTGGCACAAACAACGGCTCCGATGGCGATTCCCCATGCCATCCACTTGCCTTCTGCGTCTTCTTCGACACGGGGGAAAGCGGTGCTCGGCTCCATCGCTGCTTCAGCGATATGCACGAACAACTCCTGTATTGAACTCCAGGTTACGCTGACGTGTAACGGCGGCCCAGACATGTTCAACTTACTGGTATATTCATCTGGTTGCAGCTCGGCTCGTTGAGTGGTGCGATCCAAGTCAGCTTTGAGGGCAATAAAGACGCTTGGTAGTTCCTCGAGGTGTGGGTATTTGGCTCGTAACTTGGGTATGTAGGCAAACGAATCTGGGTCTGATGAATCGTATGTATAGGCAATCACATCACACTGGTCGAGTAGCTTTGCCTCGTTGTCAAGAATAGCAGGTTCCAGTTCGCCTAGCTCATCGAGGATCATGTAGCACTGTTTACCGCCTGGAAGCTCTACAGTATTTACGGCAGTGCGAGGCTGGATGGTTGGGCGGTAGGATGGGTAGAATCCCCGGGATAAGAAGGCGTCTAGAAGAGCGGATTTACCCGAGCCTGGTGCGCCCACGACGTGACAAAGAACGACATTCCGGCCCACTCGCCCTGGTCGCCTGCGACGTTTTCGGGGTTTGGTGATTTGAAGCGCAGCGGTGGTAGTAGGGTTGTTGCGGTCAAAGGACTCAAAGCCTAGATATGCAAGGTATTCCAATGTTGTCTTGGGAGAGGTAAACGTGGTCATACTCCATTGCGCAAGCCAGCCCTGTAGGGTGACGTGGCCTGCTTCGTTGCGAACCGTGGATGATGGGAATGAATCCTCTGTCCACGAGGGAGGCAGTCCCGGTGTTGGGGCAAATATGGAGGCAAGCTCCTCCTCATTCAAACCTCCGTCATTGTCCTTGTCACAGAGCAAGAAGAGGTCAACAAGAAAGCGATATCCGGCAGGCGAGAGCTCGGCGGAGGAGAAGGGAGGCACCTCGAAACGCGGATGCAAAAATTCCTCCTGAAGAGAGAGATTGTCCGTATACTGAAATGCTCGAAGTATGATCCACACGGTCTCATGCCGGCCCTTTTCAACATATAGTTTGTTTAAGTGAAGAAACCCCTTGGCGTCTATGCCGGACGGGGTGACGGAGTCAGGCAATGCTCTTCGAATGGTATCTTTGATGTTGACCAAGTCTTCTTCGCTCAGATGTTTGCCAAAACATCTCCTTTGAAAGTTTTCGATTTCACTGTCATTCAAGTATCCATCGCGGTCCCTGTCACATAAATAAAATATCCTACGAAGCACATGGACAGCTGCTGGTTTGAGTACAGACTCCTTTGAATCGTACAGAGGCGATATCGGATACGTCACAGCCTTTTGGCAGAGGAAAAATGACTCGTTGACATTCCGGTGCGTCCTGGCACTACTTCGAATACATGAGTCAATCTCCTTGAACTCCGTCATGATCGGGAGCATCTCCTCCTCGATAGGCTGTGACTCGCCATGCTCGTGCAGAAGGTCCGACTTGTTGGCGCACAATACTACCGGGACGTTGACGCCCAGGGAACGGAAGTACGGGAGCCAGAATAGGGCCACCCTCTCGTAGCTGTAATGGTCTGAGTAAACGAGGAGGATGACGTTGGACTTGCGAAGCTCCTTCGCAAGGATATTACGATCTTGCGGCAGGGCAGACGTGTCAACAATGGTCGTCGTAGTCACATTTTCGGGCGTTCCAATGGTTGGCGGGATGGTCACTTGCGGCAGGACGGCCTGGATCTTGTTGGTGACGAAGACTCCCTTGACAAGCGACGTTATCAAGCTCGACTTGCCCGTCCCTTCGTCGCCGCAGACACAGATTCGCACTGTTATAGATATATAATTAGAGACTGTTCATAGTATTGACGCAGGCATCCTGACCGCAAGCTTACCGGTTCCCATTTCACGCAAGCTCCTTGTTCACCTCAGGGCTTCATCATCGCCATCGGCCGTCCGGTTGTATCTTGCCGTCGACTTCGTTCTCTTCTCTTGCGCTTCGTCTTCGTCTTCTCTTTGCTTTGCTTCTGCTCTTTTATGTCGTTAGCTTCTGCTTATATAATCACAATCAGATAATGAATGACATAATCATCTTAATCTCGCCCAAAAAGGAAAAAGAAACTACAACTTTCAGTCGACGCTTTTTTCCCTTCAGTGCAAAAATTCGCGGAAAAGAAACTGAAAGGAAAGAAAGACGAGAGATGAAGATATACTGGAGTGAGGATAGTCTACAGGCTGCCGCTGGTCGATTCCTGAACGCTGGCGGACTGCGATCTAGGCTGGGAGGTGATCATCGAGCGGCGCGGATGAACGTTTCGCCCAGCCTCATCGGCCGTCCGGGGTGAAGGTCAGGAAAGACCTCGCACCGCCCGAAGCCCAGGCAAAAGCCATGGCTGGCATCTGGCTGTTCCACGGATCAACCTCGTACTCCAGGGTTTTATTTTTATCTATCTGACGCCCGCAGATGGGCACGAGGAGTGACGACTTCACGCCACCGACCTGCGCCTTTTGTTTGTCCATATCTAGTTCGATAACTCACCGTCTATCAGAGGGACTTGAGAGTTCTTTGGGGGGGTTGAACGCAGGGGGATACATACCTTATATATATACTCGCACCTTCACGGCACAGAACAAGCTGAGCATTGAAAGAAAGGAGGCAAGCTGTGGTTCACAGTCTTTGGAAGATGCCGTTAGGATTCAATAATCCGCTGCCTTCTTCACTGGCAAGTATGTTGCGAATCTACATTGTTCTCTGGCTATGTCTGCAGAGTAATTAGTGCCACCAGTGTTGCTAACGTATACGTGCCGACTATAGGTGAATGTCGGAAAGCCAGCAAGATCCTAGTCTCGTTTATTGACCCGTCGGAGTCGTTTGGACCTGAGAAGGTCATTCCGCCAGAGATTCTCGGCCATGCAAAGGTTGGTGCTTTGCCCCCCCTCCTATAACTTTGTTTGGTTTCCAAGTGTCAAAAGTCTAACGTCCGCAGGGTCTGGCAATTCTTACTGTGGTAAAGGCGGGCTTCGTTGGCTCGGCTCGATTTGGATCTGGTGTCGTTGTTGCTCGGCTTGGAGACGGGTCGTGGTCTGCTCCCTCTGCCATCACAACCGCTGGAGCCGGCTTTGGCGGCCAGCTCGGCTTCGAGTTTACCGATTTCGTGTTCATACTCAACGACTCGGCGGCAGTCCGTACGTTCAGCCAGGCTGGCTCGATAACACTGGGAGGAAATGTCTCTGTTGCAGCTGGACCCGTGGGCAGGAACGCCGAAGCCGCTGGTGCGGCGAGCATGAAGGGAGTGGCAGGCGTATTCTCATATTCCAAGACCAAGGGCCTGTTTGCAGGTGTGAGTCTGGAAGGAAGCGTGCTGATTGAGCGGAAGGACGCGAATGCGAGAATGTACAACTCGAACATATCGGCCAGCCAGTTGCTCAGCGGTGCTGTACCCCCGCCGCCCGGTGCAGAGCCGCTAATGGCAGTTCTCAGGTCGAGGGCATTCTCGGGACGGTCTGGTACTACCTATGCAGAGAGGATGTACAACGACGTCCCTGTCTATGACGACAGACATGTTGCGGGCATGGGATATGAGGGCAGGAACCGAGCTGTTTCGGCCAGCGACTACCAGTACAGCGACCGGCCGCAGCGACACAATACATGGCAGGACAACGTCCATGACCGACAGTATACCGGACTGAATCGAGCGAACACTGTAGCGGGGCGTGCCAACCCGAACGAGACGTTTGATAGCTTCGGCCAGAGCCAGCGGGGAGTAGGAGGAGCGTTTGATGGCCGCCCCGCCCGTCCGACGGCCCCGAAACCTGTCTTTGGACAGAAACCGCAGTTGGGCAAGGATCAGGCCCTAGCCCTCTTCACCTTTGATGCCGACCAGGAAGGGGATCTAGGGTTCAAGAAGGGGGAGATTATCACCATCGTGAAGCGGACAGAGAAGCAGGACGACTGGTGGACGGGCAGGATTGGGAACAGAGTCGGTATTTTCCCGAGCAACTATGTCGAAGCCGGAAAGTAGACCATCACTCAACCACTTGCCGCCCGTTCTGCTTCATCCTTCTTTTCCCATTATTTTTCTCTTGTCGACAGCAATAGACCGTCATCTCTCCCACGAGCTGCCTTTTTTCCATCTTTCCCATCCCCTGCAGCGATGAATGCATGCATGGCCCTCCCGTCCTTTCTTGTTTTTTCATTTCCTTTGCAGGCGTTTTCCTCCCTTCTCTGTCTAGCCCAAGTTACCCTCCATGTACCTACCTGCCTATCAAATACACACACATATATATATACACGCACACACACAGACACACACAAACATCCTATCCTTTATCCCGGTAACTTGAAACATTTACCTTCTTATATCGTTGGAGGAGCCAGCCCGCGCTTCACTGAGCGGCAAGATTAAGGGGCATGTCTAGCGGGAAACAAGGCTGGCCGGAATAAACACCCTCCCCCAGCCGATCTGTATCAGCTTTCGGTAAACCGTCTTGGACATCCCATCATCATCTTCTTATTCTTCTCCGTGGCCGTCGTCGTCGTCGTCTCTCGGTATCCATAATAATCCATAACTCAGGAGGTGTCCAGTATGTATATCAGACTGCCTGTGGCGCCCAATGACCGCCCCGTCTGCGCAGGATCACGGTGACAGCGAGTCACGCCGACAGCCAGAGTGAATGCGAGCAGGCAGCCCTCTCGCACCTCGCAGAAGCCTGTCGAGCTCCAGGCGACGTCCGTAGACCTGTAACTAGATGCCCTGCTATAAATAAAGCGGATATATCAAGTATAATAAACGACCCCTGTGGCTGCATGCCTGGTCTCGTGTAGTCAGGAAGATGACCTTGCAGGATCCCCCGGGGGGCGTCTCTCCTGCTCTACTTACATATCCCCAGAGCCAGGTCTGTCTACTCACTCACTCACTCACTTCTGTCACCTAGCTAGCTGCTTAACCGCTTCGTCCCTCCGTTGCCGTGAATATTCTCCTTTGCTCCTCCTGGCCTTGTCCCCCTGCGTGGCTGCGCGCTGGGATCTTCCTTGCGCCCGAAGCAACTCCCACAGCGCACAGTCAACCCGCCGCTGGGAAAAAAAAAAAATATTATTATTCACCACCAGCCAGTCATAAAAAAGAAAAGAAGATAGGGCAGAAAAGACATCGACCAGACAGACGGACGAACTGACAGAGACGGACTAACTAACTAGCTAGCTGCTCGCTGCTCGCTGCTCGCTGCTGGTGCTGGCGCTGGCCTCTTCTTCGTTTCCCCCCTCCGCCTCTGCCGCGGCGCTGCTGCAAGCCCGAGATCGCCTTCTCGCTCTGCCCTTCTTTTTAACTAACGAACTAGCTAAAAACCTCCTATCGATCTTCTATCAACCCAGGCCCGGGTCTCCTCCATACTATCTATCTGCTTGCTTCAACTGTCCCTCTGCTGCGCTGCTGGATACGAACCGCGGCCACGGCCCAACAGCAGACCCTCCGCCCCCCTGTCCCTCGCCGTTAACAGCGCTGATATAGCAGGCCGTTCGCTCCCCTTCTGGCCTCGACCTCGTTGCCCGTCCTCGGGTCGACTGCTGGGCAGACAGGACAGGCAGACTCTTGCGCCGCTGGTTGCTGCTCCCTCTCTGCTGCCCGCGAGCTCGCCCTGCTCTACATGCTTCGATGACACTGTACAACAGCAGCTCAGTGCCCCGGCGGAATATCCCCCAGTCGGCCTCGCTCGCCCTGTTCCTTTTCTCTGCTGCCGCTGCTGGAGTGCCGTGCTTCTTCCCCCGTTAGCATGCAGGTAAGGGCCGTCCCGCGCAATCATTGCCATTACCTCCCCCCCCCTCCTCCCCTCTCTCTCGCCCCCCGTTCTTCTCCCTATAAACGGCCTTGTGTTCTCTTTCCTCCGTGAATGCCTCTTTTCTGCGGGCGTCTAGACCTCTATTGAGGGGCGTGGAGGGGGGGGGGGGGGTGTCATTCTAGTTTATGGCGGATGGATATACGCAGTTCTGACCCGTTTGCAGGCCTCTACAGACAGTTACCGCCAGCCAGACAACCGAGGCGCTTCGTCCAGGCGACTGGCCCATCTCTCTATCAGTGACGACAACCGCCATGTTACGGAGGCGATTGGATACATGTACAATGACGCCTACGACGGCAGCTCGGCTGGAAGTGGGAGTGGCAGCAGCCATGGAAATGGAAGTGCGAGCCCGAGAGACTCGAAGCGTCTGAGCTATCTATCACAGGAGGAAAACCTCTCGACAAACCCCATAAACCGGACCATGGCGGCGTCCTCGTCTCCCGGCTCAGCTTCGGCGTCAGGCTCCAGCACGGGGGGCTCCAAGGATCGAACTCATCTGCCCATCCGCTCCAGCTCGATAAACGGTGTCAACGGCCACGGAAGCCCGTCACGTCATACGCTCTCTCCCAACGATAGTACCGGCCAACTCTCCCCCAGCCGGAGCCATTCTTCTTCCTCTGATGGGCCGGTCTCTTTCCCCCTGACGGATATAGACTGCCAGTCTGACCCTGCAACCGTCGCCCAGGAGCTCAGTAACCTCGCTGCTCTTCGCCGTATGTCTATGGACGTAGGCTCCCTTGACCCGGATTTACCTTCGTTTGGCGGTCTTGTGTCTTCAATAGCCCCTTCTCCCTCTGCGGACGAGGACGACGCATCCCGTCTCTTCTGGGTGCCCGCACATCTTCACCCGGGCCTCGCTCCCAAGGAGTTCAAGTCTTTTCTAGACAGCAAAGCCGATCAGATACAGCGGAGGTCTGGAGAACTCTCGCCCACCGAGGGAGCAGCGCTGCTGCAACGCCAGGGTTCAGTAAGCAGTTTGTCGCGCAAGAAATCACTGCTCTCACGCCAGGTGGACAGTTCCAGCATTGGAAGAGAGGATTCTAGAGTGTCGAAAAAGCCAAACCTAGCAGCCCTGTCCGAAGAACCACGAAACCAGTTTGGGACTTTTGCTGATGAGGACGTGCCGATCCTGCCTCCTGCGCCACCGGGCTCTAGTTTGCGCCGTTCCAGGAGAACAACCTACAGAAAAGGTAGCCTGAAGGCAGGAGAGCGGGTACCTCATTCAAGACGAGCTGCAAGACAGTCGGATGTAAGCCAGTCGGAGGATACTGCTGATAATTCAAGCATCAAACGATCGTCTACACCTACCAAGGAGCCTCCCTTGCCGGGCCTGACCAGGGTATCCACAGATCCGGCAGGGTACGATAGTAACGCAACCAACTACTCGCGGCCAGCCCGGTCAAAACCAGGATCACTGTCCTCAGCTTTGCCTCCCTCTGCCACAGAGACGGCCCCTGAGCACAACCATACACCCGCCCGTGCCAGTGCACCATCCCGTACGCAGCAATGGGCATCCCAACCCAGCGAACAGCCCGCTGCTTCACTGCATCATCACTCACTCTCACAACCACAATTGCAAACACAGCCCATTGAACCACCCCGGACAGACTCCCTACGCTCAACAGGCGGTAATAACAGCAACACAACCACCACCTCAACCACCCCCATCAACACCAGCAACCAACAACAAAACCAGCTATACATACCGGAGCGGAATTCATCACATCACCCACCTCCCTCGCTCCCACCTCAAGCACCACTACCCCCAGAGCCTGCCACAGGTCGAACGTCCAAGAGAGCCGGGCTTATCATACCAACCAAAGAAGCTCCTCCCATCAGCGATCCGTTGCCCAAGATTGTTACCCCAGCATCCTCCCATGCTCAGAGTGTTGTCCAAGAACGTCGAAAATCCGACGAAAAAGAAAAGGATAAAAAGGGCAAGATTAAGAAGGACCCGGAGGTGAAAAAATCAGGCTGGCATTGGCGACGAGGCGCAGCATCCGAGGAAAAAGAGAGAGAGAAGGAGAAGAAGAAAGAAGAGGAAGCAAAACGCAAGACGTCGAAGTCATACGGCAAGACGGATAAACCACATGACAACGCCCGTCTTGACCTGCTTCAGACATCCATCGACGGACAAGCTCCTGCCAAGTCTAAAGAAAGAGAAAGCCTCGTCCTCGACCGCCCTGACGTTGACGAAGAGCTTCGCCCTGCCCGTAAGGAGCAACTACGCAAATCCTCCTCTCCTCCTCCCAAAAAGGAAAAGGAGCCGTCTCTATTTTCATCTATCTTTGGTGGTAGCAAGAAAAAATCCAGCTCACATGATTCCCACTCCCGAAAACATTCGCGCTCTCGCGTTCGTTCACCCTCGCCAGAAATCAAATATTATAACCTTAAGGCTGATGTCGACTACAACTGGACCCGCTTTTCGATCATGGAGGAACGTGCCATATATCGCATGGCCCATCTCAAATTGGCCAATCCACGGAGAGCTCTATATTCACAGGTTCTTCTGAGCAACTTCATGTACTCATACCTCGCCAAAGTGCAGCAGATGCACCCTCACATGGCACTACCAACCTCACCCGCCAAACTCAAGGCGAAGAAGAAGGATACGCAGCAGAGTCAAAATCATGGTCAACAAAAGGCGACAGACGATCCCTCTCATTACCAAGATGTAGACACTCCTGCTTCCCTTGCCTGACCATCTTCTCATTACTTACATAACACAAAGCTAACGCTCCCTTCTAGGGCCATGACCAAGACTCATATGCAGAAAATGGAGATTCGCAAATGTACGATTATGACCTTGACGATGGATATGAGCAGTCTCAACATTCTTCGAGTCAGGGATATGATTACTCAGATGGACGAGCGGATGACCACGATGGTATGTGGTAGTTGGTAACCTGTTATATATACATAGCTTGGTTACAACACTATATTTTCCCTCGTACCTCATCTCCCTAGACCTTCAATATGCCTCTGTCCATACCCCCTCGTTCCTTACTCTTTTTATACTTTGCGCTCGCCCACTCCGGGACCCAGAGATGGGAGCCCTTCCATACACACACATTAGATATTCTACTCATCTTTTCCTTCCTTTATTTTGATTCTACTGGTGGCATAGCGGGACCGTCTTTCTTGCTTTTCATTTGGCTTTTTATCTGCCCCGTCCTTATCTCCTCGTTATAAACGTATTAACGCATGTTGAATGGTTCTCCCATGTACACTGCTTTTCTCCTTTAACGGAACTGGCCCCCCTATCTTTGTTTTTTTTTTTTTAAGAAAAAAGAAAAATCACGAGTCATCTCTCTCTCGAGTCCTTATCAATAGCCAGCGAGCTAGTCATTCCAATTTCTCCCCTAGCCCGACAAATATCCACCAGCCTGTATTTTGTGTGAATGTGCGGCCTTTCTCGCAGTCTGGCGTCGGTCGATGTCACATTATATCCTTGAATGATACCACCAGCCTTGCGCTTGTAACCTTAGTAATCACACTTCCTTTGCTCCAGACTTCTGAGTCCCGCTGCATCTGACGGGTGGTTTCGGATCTGAACGGGTGATCCTAGCGGTGGCGGGAATAAGCTCGTAGGAAAATAAAGTGGATAAACCAAGTAGTTATCGGCCCTGGCCTCGAGCCCTCTAGTGACGACCGAGGGGTTCTTCAGTATTCAAGCCACACCAGTGAGCATTCTCCTCCCACTATTGGGGACCTCGGATTAGCTTGACTTCCCTGATTTTCCTAGCCATACTCCATCAAGCTTTTCTCTCCACTGCCAGCTCCAGGCCACCACCGCCAAACACTTGAAAATAATATTAGCCGCCCGTACGACTGCTCGGCTATTATAGACTTCTATTACTCAAGCTCCCTTACCTTATTATATAGCTGCAGGAGATGTTTTCAAATGGCTTCTCACTTTGTATGTAAGGGACTACCTATTCTATATATCCAAGTAGATAGCTGTCTGGCTCTCTGACAATGACGTCATCTTCCCGGTCGTTACCTAAAAATAAAGTTAACTGCACTTACCTTATCTTGTCTTCACAGCACAAGCCGCATACAGTGTAGCTTCATTGAATACGCAGAAACCCCAGACAACAACACTCTGTACAGGCTGCAATATATTACGATATCAAGGATGAGATTATCTTGAACATTGTTTAAAAGACTAGGTTACTTGCCCGATGGTCAATGCACGACGGCAAAAAGTATGGGGAGAAGATCATGGAGTCACTGGACTCCAAAGGCAGTATGGAAAGCTTTGGAGATTGATAGACGAACCATACTTCAGATGTTGAAGGGTGGTTTACCTCCAACGATTGTGATAGCAATGTACGCTTTTCCATTTGTTTGTCCAGCAGGTAGAAGCATAGAGTTGACATTGAAGAAATAGGTATCAGTCAGACTTAGTGACAGGAGTCTCACAGAACTACGGGTTTTTATCTGCAATTATTGCTGTGGTAGCCCAATGCCTCCTACCCCGGGCAAGATTCACCAAAATCATGATATTCTCCCTCAGTGCACTCTGTGTTTCCGCCTCAATATGTTGTTTAGGAATATATTGTGTGGTCAAAGCGAGAGAACACACAACGCCTCAGGGGAAACCAGCTGGCGGATATAATGCAAGTGCCTGTGCGGTAGCAGCTATATGGTTTTTATTCGCTATTTGGTAATGCAACATCTATTATTGATTAGAATTCTTCCTACGGTGCTAACTATATCTTGAAAATAGGCTTGTGAACTCCATTCGTGCATTCAGGCCAATAGAACTTCAAGCACCAGCTTCAACCTTTTCTATGTTCATTGCAATCACTATGACTAGGGCAGGCGTGATAACCTCGCTCTCCTCTGGGCTACAGGGAGTAAAGAGCTTGCTGCTCGCATTTTTGATCGGCTTTGCTATATCGACAGGTGTCTCTATATTCATCTTACCCACGACAAGTCGCAGTACCTTCTTTCATTCAATCAGAGGATATCCTACAATAGTGAAGGAAATACTGGATAGCCAGATAGCATTTGTGAAATGCAGTGAGGAAGAAGGGCCATGGCAGCTCACTCGACGCGCCACTATAGCTCGACGAAGGACCAATTCAGTTCATATGTTGCACGGAAAAAGGAGGAAAAGGGATAATAAACAAAAGGAACCTACGGAGAGTGAATCAAAGGCTTCTCAGTTGAAAAATGCAATCCGAAATCTCTCGTCCATCCACTCTTCTGCCCGTGCAGAATTATATTTTGCAAAACAGGAGATTGCCTGGGGTAGACTAACTGCGGAAGACCTCGAGACCCTCTTTTCTCTGCTGCGTTCCATCCTACTTCCTCTTTCTGGAATTGCTATGCTTCCGGAGGTATTTCGAAAGCTAACCAAGACAGTGGAGGCTGCAGACATGGATGAGGTCCGCGTTACTGATTATGGGTATAGGCCAGTGGTGGGAGGACGCCCAGCTTTGATGCCAAGTGAGTCGCAATATGAAATCCCTGAGATCACCGAGCACTTTGTACAACCGCTTTGCGAAAGGCTAGAAACTGCCTCTGGGCTTGTGGAAGCTGGGTTCCAGCATGCTTTTATAACTTTAAAGCTAATAAAGCCGCCCAAAAGCCGTGGAACAACTTCTGGGTCTCGAGATGAGGAAGCACCTTCAGAAAAGTGTGTACCCGGGAATCCGCATTTTGTTACTGAATTCGAACAGAAATTAAACAATTATCTTGCTCTGCGGAAGCATCTGCCAGAAAAGTGGGCAACGCTCACTGCCTTTGCTCCTTTCCATGAACGAGGCAGTATTGCACAGGAACCCCGTACTATTCAAAAGGAGTTTTTCGTTCTCCTATTCATTGGCCATCTGCAAGATATTCTGCTTCAAGCAGTACTAGATCTGGTATATTTTGCAGAAAGAAAGGTTGCCGATGGGACAATAAAATCAAAACGGCTCCAATTTCCAGAACGGGAATACGTAAAGCAGTGGTTCTTCGCCAGTGACCCAGAAGAGAAAGATGATGGCAATAAAGAAGAAGATACAACAAGCAGAAGGAGACAGGAAACGGACAATCGTTACTCCAAAGACCAAGATCCTTTAAAGTCCCGATACCCTGATCCGGAGCATATGCCTCCTACAAACACCTGGCAGAGAATCGGCTGTGGAATCAGGGCCATTTCCCATTTTCTGAGTTCTGAACAAAGTTCGTTTGGTGTCAGAGTTGCAATCGCAGCATTTTGTGCTGTGATACTTGCATACCTGCCGCAAACCCAGGCCTTCTTCTTCCGGGTGCGCGCTATCTGGGTTGTGATTGTCATTCTCATTGCGATGAACCCTACCAGTGGGAATTCTCTTTTTGGTTTGATGGGTCGATTTATAGCAACAATATTATCCACCATCCTCGCACTCGCTGTCTGGTATGTTGTTTATGGGAAAACGGCAGGCGTCATCGTGTTAACATATGTGGCCAATTGCCTTCAGGTCGGTATCTTCCTGCTACCCATCGAGGATTACGGTAGCCCATACTAACCAATAAAAGTATTATCCATATATCAGAAACCCAAGATTTATCCCCCCTACTATTATTGGGGTAGTTACTTTCAACCTCATAATTGCCTTTGAACTGCTGGTATTCCCACTACCCTGTCTCTAATGCACGATTGAAAAGATTCCTTTGCCTGACATGATATAGTCTCGGAAACTGGGGATAGAGAAGGTAGAATCATCTGGCCTCCCCTATTACCCAGTATACCTATTCGGACCGTACCGATGTGTTGCTGTCATTGTAGCCTGTGCGATTTCTTACTTCTGGGTAGTGTTTCCAAGCCCAACATCAGCCGGATCCCGAGTAAGAAAAACGCTAGGCAGGAGTCTGTTTGTCCTGGCAAACTTCTATAGTTGCATGCACACCTCAATAGAGGTATGGATAATCAAGAGCAAGGGGATATAAATGACAGCCAGTCACCTGGACAACTCCTCGACCGTGCTAGGACCAAGCTGTTAGCAGAAGAAATGGCTCTATTAAAGAGCTTAACAATGTTCAGCGATTTCACGCGGTATGAACCTCCAATAGGAGGTCGATTCCCGAAGGAAACTTATGACAATATCATTTCTGCAATCCAAGCTATCCTTACCAGTATGGACTTGATGGCACTTGCAACTAGAAATCTTGAGCGTATGTCAGGATACAGCCCGGCCACAGATGTGGTTGATGACAATTCGCCCGGTGCGAGAAGGAGACCCAGCAGGACCGCAGCATCGAGGCATCAAATCGCTGAGGGAGAAAGGTGGATTCAACATCTGGCTGAGGCAGCTAACTCACCGGAATTCCGTTCGGGAGTGATCACCTCTGTGCTATACCATCTATCGGCTGCCGTTACAAACTGCCTCTGTCTGCCACCGTACCTAGCTCCTCCACACCCTTTCCCGCTAGCACGGAGGCTGCGGCACATAAACGAAGATTTGTTGAAATTCAAGAATGTGGAGAACCCCTCATTTGCCGCTATAATTGCGATTGAAGTCTTGAGCTCCATGGTAAGCTCGAATTTAAAGACATTAATGAGGTTTGCTCTCCCTTTCAGTTATCCTTAATTTTATGCCGCTCTCGCTAATGTGTTTCCAATTAGCGATGTTAAGCGACTTGTGGGAGAGCTCAACTTTGACGTGTATGTTCGAGAACACCGGCGTCACGTACGGGAAGAGAGACACTATTCGGACGAAACAGGTGGGAGTGCAAAAGGGAATTGAACGAAGTATTTCTCCCTCCAGCTCTTTGCGATTTATATTTATATCAACAAAATCCGAACTATAACTAGCTTACATAAGAATTAGCTAATGATAAAGTGACTAATACATTAGTAATTATCCTTAACCACGTGACTGCACTCCGCATTTGGGGTTTCTTTAAGAGTTCTCGATCGGCGTCGAAGGCAAGCAAAAAGAAACGACGGAAGTTCGACATCCGGACCATCATTTCGTGCGCATTTTACATCTCTGCTTAAGTATATCTATATACCCGAGAGGGTCAAGACCAGGTTTTATATCTGGATGAACTATATAGATTACTCGATGGATTACAGGTAACGGCATCTCCTCTCTCCCACTTCTTACTTCCCCGGCCTGGAGCTCTTCCCCCCCACTTCTCATACTCCGCATACAACAGCTCCGGAGTTGCTATCTACAGATACGGATTTGGAGGCACATATCCTACATTAATTCTTTAGAAGGATCTACATAAAGATCTTAAGTGTGTCTTGAAAATATCATGTTGTAAGTCTTAAGGCCCATTCCCCAGTCACCTCTGCTCCTCCCGGCTGTTCATATCCATTATACCTTATCTCAAGGTTTGGTTGACATAATGCTGAATTAATCCTCCTAATATAGCAGCGCACTAGATTCATTCAAATGGTTATCGAACAGTCGAGCTGACCACCCATAGCTTCCTGCCCCCTCCGGCACCTCGTTATGTAAATCCAGTCGCATACGCTGCCGGCACGTCGAACGGTCTACCAGTCCCCATAACCGAAGTTATCAACGTTTTAAAACATCCAGAAGGAGGCTGTCCTTTGCAAGTTGGTGAAGGTATACTACATCACCTACTGCAGCCAGGACTGGAATTGCTACAGGCATGCTAATTAAAATGCGTCCAGGGACATATGAGCTCAGAGAGGACGTTCATCTTGCTACGCCGCCGCCGCACCCTTCGGAGCCACCGTTAATAAATCCAAACCCTTTAGCTACCGGAATTACTCCACCAACTGTTGGTGTAAAGCTTTCTCTTGCTATTCTGAAACCCAGTGGTGCTCAACTCTACAAAACCAACACTCGAACAAGCATAACATCAGACCTACGAAGCGTGAATGAGAGTGATAGTGCTGGTCGCTCATCAAGTGAACCCCATGTAAACGCATCTACTCAGGCTCCACCGTTCGGTGAGGGCAGCCTTGCCCTCGCTAACAGTGGAGGCAAAGACACAACTGGATCAAAGAGAAGGAAGCCAAAGAACAGTATTCAAAAGAGCGGATCATCGTTCATTTCTCGGGTCATACTCCAAGATGCAATGCTAAAGAAGGTCGCCGAAAGGACCCATGATAGCCCCTTCGTGTTCGCCAACCTCAACCGATCCTTTCAATGGCTGGACTATTCCGTTCCCAACAAGCAGGAATTCCTTACAAAGATCCTTTTCACCAAGGCGCATATTCTTAGTCATGATGTGAATCAGATAACTAAAAGTATGAATCATCTGGATTTAGCCATGGGATCTTCGGCAGGAGATATTATATGGTACGAACCATTCTCACAAAAATACTCCCGGATCAACAAAAATGGTGCTATCAGGAATTCACCGGTAAACCACATTAAATGGATTCCAGGGTCTGAGAATCTATTTTTAGCTGCACACTCGGACGGGTGCTTGGTAGTATATGACAAGGAGAAGGATGATTCACCGTTCACACCCGAGGAGTCGGATAATATTACACTGTCTTCTGGTGAAGGAAGCCAAAGCAATACCCATTCATCTTTGTTCAAAATTTTGAAATCGGTCAACTCCAAGAATCAGCGCACCAACCCGGTTGCGGTTTGGAAATTATCCAACCAAAAGATTAACAATTTTGCATTTTCTCCAGATCACCGCCATTTGGCTGTAGTTTTGGAAGATGGAACGCTAAGGATTATTGACTATTTGAAAGAAAAGTACGCTATTGCTTTTACACTTCTTACATATGCAGTTGCTAACGGGCTTATTCAGGCTACTTGACTTATATACAAGCTACTACGGAGGCTTGATCTGCGTGTGCTGGTCACCAGATGGAAAATATATATTAACGGGCGGCCAAGATGATCTGGTATCAATCTGGTCCTTCCCGGAACGCAAAATCGTTGCCCGCTGTCAAGGACACAATTCTTGGGTGTCATGCGTTGAATTTGACCCATGGCGATGTGACGACCGAACTTATAGATTTGGTAGTGTTGGCGACGACTGTCAACTTCTTCTCTGGGACTTTAGCGTAGCTATGCTACATCGTCCCAAGGCGGTGAGAATTCCTCGTGGCTTTAACTCTAGCAATTAATAATGAAGAATGCGGGACACTGACAATAACGCCACAGGTTACAGCACGCCATAGAAGCAACCCCCAGTCTCCTAGCAACAGACCGCATGCAGACAGCCTTACTACACGAAACATGCGTTCTGATTCTCTTCGACCCGGGGAGGAGTTTGATCAAACTATAATTCACCCTGTCGAGTTGTGGTCGAGAACAGCACAACTACCACCAATCATGTCTAAAGCCGTAGGGGAGGATCCAATATCTTGGTTGGGATTTTTGCAAGATTCTATCATGACCTCCTCACTTGAAGGTATGTGTGAGATGATCCGTGGATAGCTGGACCCTTTCTTTTTTTACATTTTGGTGTTGCTTCGTCATCCTGACATCTCTCAAATTTAGGGCATATTCGGACGTGGGATCGGCCAAGTGAAACTGCGGGTGAACCGAATGCTTCCGCGGCCGGCTCATCCGTAGCCGTTGGCTCACTTCCTCGATCTATGGATGGGACCCAGAACCCGTAGATACCGGCCTGTATAGAAGTTGATTGGTGTTCGGAGAACCTACTTGAAATTTCATCCCTCTCTACACATCCTATCCTCATCACCTATGATAATAGCCCGTTGGCCACTGATTATCGGTAGCTGCGTATGTACCATCTATATTTGCTTCGATAGCGAACAGATTATTATGCTTTTTTTCTGTCCCGATGATGTTCATTTTGACAGCTGCCCGACGATAAAGGAGCCGAGTAATGAGCAGTGAGTGAAGATCTTGTAGAAAAGACGTATTATTCCATTATTAGACAGACAACACAAAAAGGTATATTATTAAGTACTGTTGGTACAAAGTACGTGTATGACAAAATAGTATGGGTGAAGAAGAGTAAGAAAAAATAGTCGGAGAACGAAGGTGATTAGGTGGCTAAACGTTGATCCTCTCGCTCTGGGGCATCATTAGGTCTCGTTACTTATTTATTTAGAAGTTTTAGGTGGTCCTATGAACGGTCGATTAGTTATGCTGTCTCTCATATGAAGCTAATGAGTTGAAAGCGAATATCTTACCAGTCCTTCGAATAAACCTTCTCCTGTGGTGGCACAGGTTGGTACGACGTACCATATCCTGTCCTTGAGTTGAGAGAGTTGCAGTTTTTCAGTGACTTCTTGTGGGCTCATAGCTGTAATTTGGAGTACGCTGTTAGCTGGCTGTAGATAGAAGAAAAACGTAGAGGAGGGAGCGAGGAAGAGAGAGTGGGCAGGAGAGTGGTCCGTACCTCCGGGGATATCTTGTTTATTGGCAAAGACTAATAGGAGGGCCTCCTTCATTTCACGGTCAAGAATGATTCTGTGTAGTTCCTGACGGGCTTCATCGATACGGGCACGGTCATTTGAGTCAATAACGAAAATCAGTCCTTGTGTGCCTGCACGGGGTTCTTCTGTCAGCAGCTGTCTATGGTCGAGATGAATGCCAGGTGCGTCGTACCTGAGAAATAATGTCTCCACAATGGTCTGATTTTGTCCTGACCACCAACATCCCACACGTTGAATTTGACATTCTTGTATGTCACGGTCTCGACGTTGAAGCCGACGGTCGGGATGGTGGTGACGTCCTGGTTTAGCTTGAGCTTATAGAGAATGGCTGTTGACGGTCAGCATAGTCAGCAAACAGGCAGGCAGGCAAAAGAGAGAGAGAGAGAGAGAGAGAGCTGGAATGTGATATGCGGAGGGGCAATCTCGTACTTGTCTTCCCGGCAGCATCCAGCCCAAGCATGAGCAGCCTCATCTCCTTCGATCCAAAGATCTTGCCCATGAGCTTCGAGACTTGGCCGCCCATGGTGAATGTGTTGAGCGTGTGAGTATTCGTTTAAGCGCAGGGACGTTTTATCTGGCGGACACAGGTATGCAGGTTTCCGGTATACGATGCGTTGATCAGCAGAGGGACGTTAACAGGTTCTTCTTATTGCTTTCTGGGCTGAGAGGACGGCGGTCCCTTCGAGAGACACGGCGAAGGAAAAAGGCGGATCTGAAGAAACAATTTGAAACGGGGGGCGGAGGGAGGAATAGGGAGGAGGGTGGTTGGTCAGGGAAGAGTCAGGAGTCAATTGCCGCGCGCGCAGGGAGCAGTTCTCGCTGGAGGGCCAAGGGGCGGAATCGGCAAGATAGGCGCGGACCACAGGCGCTGGGTCTGCTGCTTTTCCGGGCGCGGGAGAGCTCGCCGGGCGTCTTCTCGCAGGTGCGGCTGGCGACGTTTTGCGGTTCGTTGGAGCTGTTCTGCCTGCTTCCTCCGAGCAGAGCACTCTCACCCCACAGGCAGCTCGCAGTTCAAGGAACTATCTGACCTGTCGCGGCGTTCGGTACCCCGTAGGCGTCGAGAGGAGAGAAAAAAGAAATTTCTGGTCAATTGGGCTGGCGTAGAGCTGGCGCAACCGCTTCACATAGTCTGCCCTCGATCGCGGCTTCGTCGGTCTGCCTTTATGCTGCGTTCTTCAGGAATCAGGCTCGCGTCGTTCGTTCCGGTTCTTGCGATTCTCCTTTTTTTTTACCCCTGAGGTTGTTTTATGTCGTTTTTTTTTTTCTTTTATTTTCTTTTTTTTTTTACCTTTTTTTTTTTTTCCTTTTCGAGGCTTTTAAGGTTTAGGGATGAGTCACGTGTGGCAGGCAGGTGACAGACTAGTCCCAAAGAGGTAACTACCTTCCGGATGACTAAGAGGATGACTAATAGCAGCAAGAAGGAGACGGCGAGAGGGCGGCGGCGACGGCGACGATGGTGGTGGTGATGGTGATGGTGATGGTGATTACCATTTGTTTATATAGCTAGCAGGAGAGAGATGAGTGGCGGGTGATGAAAACGAAAACGAGCGGAAGGGTCGCCAAAGGGGAAGCCAGTGAACCGAGATGGCCCCTTGCATGATCGCCCGGAGACACCCTTGCTGGCGTTTCAGGCGGGCGACGGAATTCGGGAGGGAGCTCGCTGGGCTTAACTGCCTACATCGATGGAGCTATAGGACGGAGGTACGGAACAGTATTTTAAGTAGACTGCAATACAGAGTGGGTGGCTATGGGTGTGACTATTTGAATAATGCTTTAGATGCAGCGGTGACACCTAGTTGATGGGGGTATCTCCCTCGCTATGCTGAAGAGAGGCGCTATCGTCAAACTACGTAAGACGGTACGTACTCCGTAGCCTCTGTACTCAAACATGGGTAGCTCGATACTCGGCAGCATGTTTAGATGAGAGGGTTCTTATAGACAGGGGGTAGGCCAACTTTACATGGAAGCAGTCAGGTTTCTGGAAGTCCACGCATGCTGGAATCTCGTTGAAACAGGACAATTTAGGGCCATGCTTCATGTGTGAAGCCGCGTCAGGTTGGTGAGAAAATTGGTAGGTATGCAAGCGAGGCTTCAGCATCGAACGTGAAGTACTCTATACTCCATACAGTCCTTGAAGAGTTCTCCGCTTGGCCATCACTAAGGAGTCAAGTTAATAGTTTTATGGCGCCATGCACAACTGTGGCGTGTTGAACCGAGAGAGCCTTGCCATTGCATGCAGCTTTGGCGGTGCGCCTTGAGGAAACTGGGTCCTTCGCTCAACTTCACCGTGGTTCCCCGGTAGTATCGTTCATGGCAGCAGGAAGTGCCCTCTTTGATTATTAGCAACCGTATTTGAAGGCTTCCTTGCCAGCCAGAATGAAACTCATGATGGCCGTTGCAACAGTCGGTTGACGTGGAACGCCAGTTCCAGAGTGAGGGGTCATGTTCAGGGCTTGGTGAGCCTCAAAATAATCTTATAAACCTTCTCTTACGTTATGATTGTCTCAGGGGCCGTCTCGTTGGGATTTGTGCCTTTTCCGCTTTTTTGCTTTTGTCATCCCCGGCGAATGGGATCCTGGAATAATAACAAAGAAGATTGTGCCGCAGAGTACCGTTGATGAGGCTCGGGGTAAGTCAGCCTATCATGACATGCAGGTATCATCCCAGGAAGCCCTTCTGGCCCCGAGATGTGCACGTCCCTAGGAGGGAATACAACGCAATATGCGCATGCTTTGTCCATCTTTGCTCAACTCCACGATTTTCACTGGATGCCATCCAAGACTCCGCATGCGTTGTTGGCATTTAACTGCTCGGGCACATGATCTTGACATGCCCGCAGTCTCTCTCTCGAGCCTGATGCCAACGACAGTGTGGTCGTACTGAGGGTATTTATCCGGATGCGACGAGAAGCACGACGAAGATCATCTTGATATTAATGGTCGCTATCTTTAGCCCTCCGATTGACTCTTGTTGGATATTCCCAAATCGTTTAACAAGATAACAAAGCATTTGTCTCCCCTTAACTCCTCCAGCCAAATCGCAGATTCGAGCTGCTGCTGCCTTGCTGTCTTTTCTTTCGTCTCTTTGCCTTCATTGATTTCGCTCTCGGGCCAGGAAAGAGTCACGTGGTGCACCAACTCGGGGTTCCCCAAAAGGCTCTCTCAGCAGCTTTCTTTTTTTTCGCTTTTGGTGCAGCGAGAAACAACAAAGTACGTCGATATTGAGAAGTTGACTGGTTGTCATTGAGAGCTGGAACCCAGTCGGGACTTCAGAATGCACTTTGTTCAAGAGCCAACTTACCTGTTCCACTAGGTTGGAGTCACGGCAAACACCTAAATTGGTCCTGTGTTAGTAGACCGGGGCTGGCAAAGATAGCACAAAATGATACCCTAAATGACAGCGCAAGCTGGACTTGAGTTTTTACTGCCGTAGCTCTGATGGTCTCTTCCCAGCCCCTCATGTAACTGGAAGCACGGCGCGCTGTTGCGTCGATGGTCCCAATGCTGAGCTACCTTGTCATTGGGACGACTAAGAAGCTCCCCGTTCTCAGGCAAACAAACCGTCGCTCGGCGAGAATATGCAGTGTAATACCACATGAGCCAACTTCTCTTGGGATCAACTATCTTGTCTTGCAGGTCCGTTAATACTAGTGACGGATCCGAGTGGTTTCTCGATCAACTTCGGTTCCCAATTTTGGGCAGTGGATATGAAAATGCACCTCGACCACACTCTCTATACGAGAGCAGGGTAGCCATGGCAGAGAAAACCCTTTCTATTAGGCAAGCCTGGCTCCTCTGATGCCTGGTTACCAATGAACTGAACCCCCACTGCGTCATTGGGCTGGTGACTATGTAGTTCGACTAGGATGGCACATATTCGCGCAGGGATCCGGAGACCATAATGTACCGGGAAAGAGGGAATAAAAAAAAGAATAAAGAAACCTACAAAGCAGATGTGGTGAATGTTACATAAATGAGATGTTATCAACGTCCCGAGTGTACTATTAAAGTACACCAAGCGCTCCTTCCCGCGCAGTCGCTCAGGAGTGTGCATACAACAATTTCATCCTCGCATGTATCCGTGGCAGAAATCACGCATCAAGTTGTGAAGTAGGTCGTCCAAGTTTATCATAATGGAAGAAGTTGATTTGGTCGTTGTTGGCGCAGGTAAGTCGGTTATCGGCTCGACACGACGCTGACCAAGTCAGTTCCAAATACTGACCACTGGCGGTTAGGACCATACGGTCTAAGTGCTGTAAAGACATATCTGGAAGTTTATCCTTCTGCCAAAGTGGTTGTTCTGGAAGCAGAATCGTCCATTGGAGGGGTATGGGCAAAGCATCGTCTCTACAGTACTCTATGCACAAACAATGTCTTTGGCTCACTTGAGTTCCCGGACTTTGCCATGGATGCGGAGACGTTTGGTGCAGAGAAGGGCAAACCTATACCCGGACAGACTGTGCATGCATATTTGAATGCATATGCAAAGAAGTTCGGTCTGACAGATAGAATACGTCTTCGAACGAGACTCATTTCTGCCGAGCATAGAGATAACCCATCGTCCTGGCTTCTCACTGTTGATGCAAACAGTGATGGAATGGAGGCTGCGGTTGGAAGCACTTCGACTCTCCTCACTCGGAAATTGATACTGGCAACCGGTCTCACATCACGGCCACATCTTCCCAGTTTTAAAGGCCAGGAAACATTTGATGCACCGATATTTCATTCTCGAAATATGCCAAAGTATGAGAATGAACTGTTGCACCCAGACAAGACTGTGGTCGTATATGGCGGGGGGAAAGCTGCCTGGGACATGGCCTATACCTGTGCAGCAGCTGGAGCGTCTGTGCACTTTGTTATTCGTGAAAATGGCCGCGGCCCTGCGTGGATGTCCCGGCCCAGGATCACACCGCTCAAGATATTGCTTGAATACCTGCTTCTGACCAGATGCACGACATGGATGTTTCCTTGTATCTGGGCCACAACGGGGCCAACGAAATTTCTGCATGAGACTTGGCTTGGTAAACAACTCGTCAATGGCTTCTGGGCCTTGGTAAAGAACGACGTGGTAACCGCCAATAAGTATAACAAGCACCCAGAGGTCAAGAAATTGACGCCCTGGCTTGATCCGTACTGGGTATCTACGTCACTGAGCATCCTGAACTACCCGAGTGACTTCTTTGACCTAGTGAGGAGTGGCCAGATCAAGGTACACATTGCCGATATCGATTCTCTGTCCAGCCGGACGGCGCATCTTTCCAACGGTACCTCCCTTGAGACTGATGCTGTGATATGTGGAACCGGCTGGGAAGCTCGATCACCGATAACGTTTCTGCCTGAGGGGATCGACGAGCTGCTTGGAGTGCCCTGGGCTCCCGAGCCGCTGGACAAGTCACTCCTGGAGGCTGCAGATAAACATATTCTGAGACAGTTCCCGCAGCTCAAGGCCTCTGCCAGAGTGAATGAGCGTTTTAAGCACTTCTCTGCGGACGCTGAGACTCTCTCTTCTCATCCATACCGGCTGATTCGATTCATGGCGCCTCCCAAGCTAAAAGACCGATCGATTGTCTTCCTTGGGATGGCAGCCAATATAGACACAGCCATCACGTCTCAGGTGCAAGCCCTCTGGGCCACTGCATATCTCTCAGGCCAGCTTGAAGCGTGTCCGCTGGTCCCCCGGCCGGCTGAGCCCAAACCGACGGCAGAGGAAGACAAGACAGACTGGGAGGTAGCCCTCTACTCGCAGTTCAGCATATGGCGGTATCGAGAGGGCATGCGCATGCGTAACCCGGACTTTGTCCTCGAATCCATCCCCTATATTGATCTGATGTTGCGAGACCTGGGACTGCAACGCCGTCGCAAAAAGGGGTTCTTCCGGGAGCACTTCACCGTGTACCGGCCTCGAGACTACCAGGGAATGGTAGATGAATGGAAAGCAAGGAATAAGACAAAATCATCCATCAGCACCGACGAATAGGGATGTAACTCTTTTCTTCTTGCTTCTTTTCTGTTGGTATCTCCTCGTTGCTGCAGCGTAGTTTTGATATTCTCCACCTCAGCCTCACTTCACGCCAGCCAAGGGCGAGGCTGATAGCTTTAACTAGATATAAGCACACGATATGATGAAATGCATTCTTCCCGTGTCTTTAAAACAAGACATCCTATTTTTGGCCCTTGCCCTGAGGCTGGGGGGACAGTCAGATGCACGGCGGGTGGAGGACAGCTCAAGCTCGAAACCGTTCTGCCTGTTGCTGTCTCAGTTTCTATGGATGGGATAGCTAGTTAGCAGCCAGCCAGCCAGCCAGCACTGTATAACTACTCTGTGTGGGCGTATATATAAACTGAGCGAGGCCGCCAGGCTGACCGGCTGGCCCCTGGGATCGCTGCATCTCAGCAAGCGATGGCCGACATCCACAGCCTCCCGGTCGAGATCCTCTATCTCATCCTCTCCTTCATCAGCGCAAGCCCGCCGCCGACCGCAGACGAGCGCGCACTGCGAGACCTCCCCAGCCACGCCGTAACGTCTTCCAGAACGACCGACCTCAAGAGCGTCTCGCGTGTGTGCCGTCAGTTTCGAGAGTTCTCCCGCGAGCACCTGTTCAGCTTCTGCCGGTACGAGCTGCGCGACCAGGACCGGTTCCTGGCCTTCATCAGCCGCCATGGCCTGGCCGAGCACGTCGAGAGTGTCACCGTCTCCGTCCGCAGCATCTTCCCCGGCAGCGAGAAGCAGCAGTGGTGGAAGACGCTGTTTGCGGCCCTGAACCCGACGACCGTCACCGTTGTTGCGCCGCCGTTCATGATCGCGGACATGGCGCAGTGCGCCCTCCAGGGCGACAAATGGGCCTTTGACATGCCGCTGCAGACCATCCAGTTCCGCCAGCAGCAGCAGCAGCAGCAGCGAGACCAACAGCCTGATACCCAGATGGTCACACCAGCCGCCGAGGGAGAGAATCGCGGCGGCAGCGGCAGCGGCGTCGACGATGACGATAGCTTTCTCACCGCGAAGCCGTGGACGCAGCTGCTGTTTAACGAGGGCTCGTCTCTGCAGGCGTACAGCGTGGAGGATTACTTCCGCCTGCGTCCTCCATCCGTCGTCAACTACTGGGGCTCCGTCGACCCTTTGCAAGCGGTCAACCTCCCGTATCCTGCGTCTGCTATCTCGCGGCTAACCTCGTTTCGCTACATTGCCGTCTTCCCCTTCTACAGCCATACTAACCTGGTGCTTAAGCTGTTCCGCAGCATGACCAACTTGCGCTCGCTGGCCCTGCAGCTCTCGCCGCCGGAGTGGAGTGATATATTTGAAAAGGAGCAGAAGAACTCGACCATGGATCCGGAGAATGCCTGAATGGAGTTGGAGACGGGATACTCGCTTGTCCCTCATTCGGTGCGGTATCTAGGTGTCCATGGCCGTCTGGTCGAGTTCAGAGCTCTGGATTATAACCTACCGCCGCAGAGGAGCTATGTTTTCAGAACCATGCATCAGGTCCTTAATCTCGCCTGGCAGCATGACGGGCACGGCCGATGGGTTAAACGGCCGGCTGCTTCGAACACGCCAGGCTGACCCATTTTTTTTAACACACCTTGTTTTGTTGACTTACTTTGGGAGGAGACCAATTTTGGATGGCATTCATTGATGCTGGTCCTTGTTCAAGGCGTTGGATAGTAATACTAATCTACATGTTTTGTTTTTAATGAATGAATGATTGAATGAATGATTAGCGTGGATAAATCAATGAACTAGCCTATAATTTACACATTGGGACTAAGCAAGAGCATAAGAAGAGTTGGAGATACAAAAAACCGCAGGTAAAAGGTACAGAAGTCACAGAGAAATAACAATATACCAAAACCCCATTTTACACCTTAGTTGGAATGCTGCAGTCCAACTTCACTTAGCCTGACTCCCATCCAGACGAGGCATTAACAAAAATAGCAAAAATAGGTAGAAAACGCAGGTGTGTGGAGAAACAAACAGGCAACAGAACTGGGTTGCCCCTTTATACCTTATAGAGAGTAAACAGTAATATAGCTTATGGGCAGATAGCCAAGTTAGATTAGCTATAGCCCAGCAAACACATTGAGATATCCTCTCTTAGTTAACTGTGTAAAGTCAACATAGACACGTATATCTGCTCTGTCCTTTTGGCCTGTGGCAGCATCAGCATTAGTGTTTGCCTGGCTACCGCTAGCAGCATCCTCTGCACCAGCAGTTCCCGAACGAGCAGTCTGGTTCTCTGTATTTGTGCCAGCCGCAGCGGCGGCGGCGGCAGCTGCAGCAGCTGCAGCACCACCAGCCCCAACTGCCAAATCTGCCAGATGCTCAAGGGAGCGCTGTTCGCTGGATCCCACGGCACCAGAGCCCTGCTGCGTGGACCGGAAAGCGGCGACCTTGACTTCAATCATTGCACGGAAGCATTCTCCCCATGATCGAGTGTAGAATATATTGCCAAACTCTTCAGCTGCTGTGGTATGCTTATCGCGTTGACTGATGATCTGGAGTGCTTTGTCTAGGGATATCCATGCATCTGCTGCCAATTCGGGGAGGTCTGTGGATTCCAATAAGGTCATAATGGCAAGAGCCAGGGCGTGATGATGGAATGGCGATGTGATGAACTTATCTGAGTCGGAGTGCTGCATGAGAAGGTCGAGGATGACTTGTGCAGGGTATAGTACCTCAGCAGGGACGGATGTATAGAGTTGCCTTTTCAAGAGGAGGGTGAGGGTCCAGAATAGTAGTGGGCAAACGGATTCGGTGTACGTTGTGCTCATTTCATCATCACCAGTGGGTTCATGCCAGGACTCAAGGTCCTTGAGACGTTTGAGTTGGCCGTAGTAGAGGCGGCGGAGAGAGTGACTGTTCATCCGTCCAAACGAAGGGTGAACAGTGTTGTCGAAGAGTACTTCGATGATTTCGGAGACTGATGTCGAATAGCCTACATTGTGCCGTTAGCAATTTTTTTTTTTTTGTTTTTTTTTTTTTTATATATTCTCGATGTGAGACTGGAGGGTGGTTGTGGGAACATACGGGCAAGCTGTAGAGAAGCAAAGCTGAGGATACCACGATCTTCGGGCATAGCAGCTTCAAAAACACCAAAAACATCCCGACCAGCCACGCTTAGGCTATGCCAGCGAGACAAGATCATCAGGACAGTCCAATTCCTTCTTGCAAGATTGCCGTCAGAATCAATGTCCTTGTCATCTATGTTACAGCTATCAAGCTGATCATACGACCGCGCGAGATGATGCGCGATAGGGAATGCAGCATCAATGAGAACCGTCTTACTAATCCCGTTCTGACCATGGAGATTTTCCGGGCCCCTGGAATCGGCATCGATGATCAACAGGGTAAATGTGAAGAGGAGGACAAAATTAACCGCCTGGGCCCGGGAGCGAGGGTCTTCACGAAGACTTTCAGTTAAATTATCCTGTGCTCTTTGAAGGTTTGGAGTTTCCTGCAGCGACTTTTCCGCTCTCGACGGGTCAGCCCCTGTCACAGAGAGTAATGAGTGCAAGAAAGCTTTTTGAATCTGGCGGCTGGCTGATTTAAGGTACTGGGAAAGTAGATCCCGGGAGTTCGGTAGAACTGGGAAAATAGGGTGAATGTGCTGATAGTAACTAGTACCAAAAGTGTTAGTGATTGATTGCACTTGTTATTTTTTTTTTTTTA